CTTGTCATTAAATCATGTTCTTCCAATTCTTAAGAAATATTTCGAAACTATTATCGGTATAGATCCACTAATGTTGCAATGGGAAGTTTCCAATGTTTGAAGCATATTAAGAAGTGAAAGTTATTATTGAATCAAAGCTCCTTGAAAACAATGTGCAGACAAAACTGCCATTCTGGTCGCCTTGTTTGAGGTTAATACAAGCTTGGTTGGAATGGAATTAGATAAGTTCACCTGTAAAATACCATTTCTTATAAGAGCGAAACGGGCCACTATTATCTAAAAAGTTTATTTTTGTCCAGATTGGCCTTCATACCTGATTCATTACAAAATAGTTCAAGGTCATTTATCTATTTCTGTATTTCAATATAAGTGTCGGAGAGAGCAGAAACATCAACATCAAGCATAGTGAGTGAGTGAGTGAGTGAGTGAGTGAGGTTTTACCCCGCTTTTAGCAACATTCCAGCATATATTACGGCGGGGGACACCAGAAATGGGCTCCACACATTATACCCATGTTGGAAATTGAACCCGGGCCTTCAGCGAGACGAGCTAACGCTTTAACCCCTACGCTACCTCAGCAGACATAATAACAGGCATCTGTGGTAAATGTTAAACATATGTTATGTTTTGGATTACACTTTCTTTTAAAGTACAAATCCTAGTACCTTTTTGGGTGGCGTCCGGAATTCGAACCAACACTCTTAGAGTCAGGCACCTAATCGCCAGCACACTAAGTCAGCAATCTAACCAACTCATCCACCGATGCTTCCGAGAAATGGAAGTCCGACAACTGGCAGTTAGTACAAGTGTAACACCTGACCACTATCTAAAAGGCATTGAGTGTTCAGTGATAAACATTCCTTCACCCTCACTTTACATGAGACCCGTGAAGATTCCGGGGTAGAATAGGTCTTCAGCAACCCATGCTTGCCGTAAAAGGTGACTATGCTTGTCGTAAAAGGCGACTGACGGGATCTGGTGGTCAGGCTCGCTGGCTTGGTTGATGCATGTCATCGATCCCAATTGCGTGGATCGATGCTCATGATATTAATCACTGGATTGTCTGGTCCAGACTCGATTATTTACAGACCGCCGTCATATAGCTGGAATATTGCTGAGTGCGGCGTTAAACAACAAATCAACTTTCCATGAGAACCCATAAGTTATGACCAGCCATGAGATAAGGAACCTTATGGGTGAAAACTCATTTTTTGACTTTTCATTATATTTTAAAACTACAGCATCTTCTGAAAAAAAATACAATTCACAAGCTTCAATTCATATTTATTACAGATACATGACATTAAACACTTGGAGTCATTTTCCGACTTATAACTGTTTATGTAATAATTGCAGTCATTAGACATAATGTCCGATGAATTGAAAATGAACATGTATGCTGAAAGGTTTAGAAATACTGTTTTATTACATTACAAACTAACGATAGAAAAATAAGATATATTTGTATAGTCCGCACACATTGCGATCTTCACTGAAGTAAGTTGACGTCAAACGTCTTTATGACGTCAAAGCACAATTGTATCCTTGTACCCATATGGTCCTCTTCTGGTGGATCACAGTTATTGATAACAGCGAAGAACATTTGGGGACTTAAAATGCAACCCTGACGGGTATCGATATAAAAAAAATCTGCTGACAGGCCTTTTCAAGTTCTTACACAGGCTGAAAGAATATCATACATAGATGCTGTTAAAACTTTCCACATCTTCCAGTTTTGCAGAGAATCTATGAAGACACATGACTCAGAGGGGCAAAAGCTTTAGCATAATCGATAAAAAAGCAATATGATCTACCTCTTTACCTACAACTTTGTTCAATTAATATAGAAGCTGACCCGTTTGACGAACTCCTGGTGTCCACACGCAATGGTGTCGTGAGCCGATAGTGTAGATTTTCCAAATGTGTTCCAATTTCTTAGTTCTCCTGGTCGAACACCTCGTATGAAGAACCCAAGGACAGTACCATCTTGACAGTGTAGTCGTTTGACACTTAACGGCAGTATTCGTTTGGACAAGACGGGTATTTGTCAATCAGTAATAATAGACGTGCCTAATAATAAACGAGGGTAGGAATGTCGTAGAACGCCTCAACTTGGATACTGTTATATTCCGGCTAAACCAAATTTGATCTGTTTTGTTTTGTGTGTTTGTTGTCTAACGCCACACTCAGGAATTAACCAGTTATATGGCGGCGGTCTGTAAATAATCGAGTCTGGACCAGACAATGCAGTGATTCATGTCATGAGCATCATCAAAGCAACTGGGATACGATGATATGCATCAACCTAGTCAGCGAGCCTGACCAACCGAATTGGCATAAGCTATACACAGTAGTTCGTGGGAATAGCTAAGATATACACATTTATGACATTTTCTAGCATAATAAAACTTGCAGGTATTGCCAAGGGTAATAGCATATAGTTTTTGTTTTTAGGTTTTACTTTTTCCAAGTATTTTAATACCGTGTGTGAGGTTTTATTTTTTCCAAGTATTTTAATACCGGATGTGAGGTTTTATTTTTTCCAAGTATTTTAATACCGTATGTAAGGTTTTACTTTTTCAAAGTATTTTAATACCGTGTGTGAAGTTTTACTTTTTCCAAATAATTTTAATACCGGGTGTGAGGTTTTACTTTTTCCAAAGTATTTTAATACCGGGTGTGAGGTTTTATATTTACCTTGCAAGATCTGATGTGTTGAGTAGCAGACAAAGTTTGGACGTAGTGTTTCAAACGTCTACTGTTCTAAAATCGAAGACAAGAGTTAAACCCTTTTCATTATGGATGACGGGAATCGAACCCACAACCTTCTGATCAGTCGTCAGGCACTCTAACCATTGGCCCACATCACTGAGGTACCGTGTTTAAGCGTATATTTCCTGGCCTGATATATTTTACGAGCGTTTGTGTAGACTGTCGTAAGACACGCTTATACATAATATTAAACAAATATTAATAAATGTTATTTCTACGGTTTATAAGTCGGATACAACACCCGGTGTTGGTAAAAAATGTAAGCCCTCGGTTCATTTTCGCCTCTACATAAATCGCATAAAATATAATGGACCAAATCGGTATTGGTGGTTCAGCAAATATATTTTATGGCATCTTCTTTTCTTTCCAGAGAAAAGCGACGTCTCTTCCCCATCCTCTGTGCAAATAGAGTGAGTGAGTGAGTGAGTATGGTTTAACGCCACTTTTAGCAGTATTCCAACAATATCACGGCGGGGGGCACCAGATATGGGCTTCACACATTGTACCCATGTCGGGAATCGAACCCGGGTCTTCGGCGTGACGAGCGAACGCTTTAATCACTAGGCTACCCGACCGCCCCTTGTGAAAATAGAAAACACAACACGCCATCTACAAACTGATGCCGTATGTTGAGTTGGTGGATTTCTAGGTGACTCGCTTCTGTGAAACCCGGTTACTCCGGTCGGTACCATTCTCAGAGAAATCTACCGGATTAACAAATCTGGATTAACGAATCAAGGATAAACTCTTTTGTTCCTGAAATCCTTCATCTCCGTCCCAACAGTGAGTGGTCGGAATCCGGGGGTTCCGGACCAGCAGGGTCCTGACTATAGGAGTTCCACTGTATTCCTACCCAGTTGTGTGGCTTCTGGGTAATATATTGACATGGAAGATGTCTCATTTTTGTCTACAACGTATCTTGAGCTAAATTCGGCCAATCGAATACAATCGAATAATGCTTCTTTGGAATACCCAAACCTGATATTTTCTAAGTAAATGTATACAACCGTCTCATCAGATTTGTTTTTGAATATTTTTTCAAATCCACACTCCGCAATATTCCAACAAAATGACGGCGGTCTGTAAATAATCGAATCTGGACCAGACAATCCAGTGATTGAAATCTTGAGCATCGATCTACACAATGGGGATACGATGGCATCCATCAACCAAGAGAGAGCCTTTAGTCGCCTCTTACGACAAGCACGGGCTGCTCATGACCATTTCTGGATGGGATCTTCATTTGCACATAATTAATTAATTAGTGCTGCATCCCCACGTGACTACATACTGAATAGAACTACTTACATATGAATGCTATTTTCACGGGGTGGAGTAGGTCTTCAGCAACCCATGCTTGCCGTAAAAGGCAACTATGCTTGTCGTAAGAAGCAAATAACGTGATCGGGTGGTCAGGCTCGCTGACTTGGTTGATGTATGTCATCGTATCAAAATTGCGTGGATCGATGCTCATGAAGTCAATCACTGGATTGTCTTGCCCAGACTCGATTATTTACAGACCGCCGTCATATAGCTGGAATATTGCTGAGTGTGGCGTTAAACAACAAACAAACCAACAAATTTCACGGAAAAGGGATGAGGTGAGGTGAAATGGGGTTTAACGTCGCGTCCAAGATTATTGCACTTATATAGCGACGTGCATGTACGTGTATGTGTGTGTGTGGCTGCTTGTACTAGTCCGGACTGATGCCGATTTATAGTGCTAGCTCACTGGGATACCATGCCGCAGTTTAACATGAATACCCCACTCAGACACAGTATACTGACTCCGAGCCGACCAGTCCTTGTTTTAGCCCCTTTATGCCGAGCGCCAGACAGGGTAACAACAAGTACCATCTTTTAACGTCTTTTGGTATGACGCGGTCGGGGATCGAACCCCGGACCTTCCGCTCTCCGGGCGAACGCTCTACCACTAGACCACGGAGGCGGTCGGAAAAGGGATGAAAGAGCATTGACATTGCATCATTAACGAAAGAAACGAAACGAGCGAAGGCACTGTACACATCTGAGAGATATTTAATATCGTTTAACACTATTAATACACAAAAGTAACAGGAACTACAGGTTTAAAAACATTCCATCTGAATTGTATGTTAATTGTATTGACGTGTCTTATGCGTCTGGGTCGTGATAAGCATATTGGACTTGTGGTAACGGATTGACCAAGACAGTTTCGTGCCAAATATGCTAAAATACATTCAGTAAGATACGTTTTCAAAATTTTATTTTCATTTTCAAAACAAATTAAATCATAAAATCAAATCAATATAATGTGAACTTTTATCCCATGTACCTGACCGTCCAGTACTGTGACCACTATTGCCTCCGACTATCGGAACAATGACCTGTTCTTGACATTATTCACTATACTCACACTGGTATTATAGTGCCACTGATAGTATAGTTTCATTCCCACTAACACCATTACTTACATAGGGTATTGTTTCGGTATTACTTATGGGACCAGGGGCGGTCGGGTTGCTTAGTGGTTAAAGCGTTCTCTCGTCACGCCGAAGACCCGGGTTCGATTCCCGACATGGGTAATGTGTGAAGCCCATTTCTGGTGTCTCCCGCCGTGACATTGCTGAATATTGCTAAAAGCGGCGTAAATGGGACCGTGTATTTCAAGATTTAAAGGTTCAGTTTTCAAGGACTGTGACATTTGAAATTTCCGATACATCTTCTATGTAGTATTTAGTGACATAACAAGCTGTATCCTATGGGTCTTCGATTTGTAATTGTTGTGTTCTGTCCGATGGACGAAAACGCACCTTTACACAATTGCGTGTTGTAAATGAACACATAAATGAATGTAGATGTATAACATTTAGGCATAAATGCTTCTGTTGGATTTGTTTTACTGATAATGACCTGGTGTATGTCATCTTGGTCAGCCTGCTTGTAGATCTCCTGAAAACTATCTATTCATCAGTTCAATTCCTACGTTACTCGCCTGTTGGAGATCATTTCTTTCTCATAGTAGGCATTTGAAGGTCCGATGTATCCGGAGCTTCTGTGGGCAATGGAGGAACACTGACTTCTTCTGTTGTCAATACTTCCTCAGTAGCGTCGCCTGTTGGAGATCGTTTCTTTCTCATTGGAGGCATTTGAAGGTTGGATGTATCTGGAGCTTCCGTGGGCAATGGAGGAACAATGACGTCTTCTGTTGTCAAGATCTCCTCAGTAGCTACGTATTCCGCCGATCGTTTTTTTCTGAAAGCAAGTGTTTCTACTTGGGTAATGTCTGATGCTTCAGTTTCTGCCTCGGTGACTCTTTCTTCACCTTGTGTTATTTCTTCAGTAACCATACCATTGTGTGTGTTACCATCTGATCTCTTCCTTCGCACAAAATCTGTGTTGTCCGTTGAAGCTGCTGGTGATTCGGTGGGTATGGAAAGAATCACCACTTCCTCTGTTGTCATCTGCTCTGCTGTAACATCAACGTCCGCGTCTCTCCGAGTTCTCTTCATCCTTGGAGATGTTGTATCTCCCCTAGCCTCCACATAGCCTCGTGGAACCTCTTGAGGTTCTTTGTCATATTCTTCGGTGAACATTTTATCGTTTTTCAGAACTCCAAGAAGGTTTAAGCGTCCCTTCTTTACCGTCTGGTCACTACGGGATACAGATGCTGAGTCTATTGGATTCATGTCACTGACTGAGCTGGTATCTGGTTCGTTGCTCACACTGACATGTATGTCCTGGTGTGATATTGTAACGTCAGTATGGACAGGTGATTGTCCAACACCAGGCTGTGGCGGAGCATGGGCAACAAGCGCAGGGACATCGGGATCACTCATGGTCTGGTCCTGATGTGATATTGTAACGTCAGTATGGACAGGTGATTGTCCAACACCAGGCTGTGGCGGAGCATGGGCAACAAGCGCAGGGACATCGGGATCACTCATGGTCTGGTCCTGATGTGATATTGTAACGTCAGTATGGACAGGTGATTGTCCAACACCAGGCTGTGGTGGAGCATGGGCAACAAGCGCAGGGACATCGGGATCACTCATGGTCTGGTTGCTATCAGACTCCGGGACATGGTCGACTCCTTGCATTGGATCCAGATTCTGCATTGGCACTGGATTAGCTTGAAGACTCTGGCTGACTCTGGGGTCCAATGCGACCTTCTGTGACTGGTCCATTATCTCCACTGATGTGAACGGAGGAGCATGGAAGCCCTGTCCCCACTTAGTTGGTGGTACTGGTGGAAAGTTAAGATGATGTGCAGGGCAGTTGTTGTCCACTGCGATACAGTCAGCATCACTGCAACACATAGTAGCACTTAAAGTTACTGTCAGTGTTAAAGTAAAACTAGACTAAGCTCCGTGATCTGATACGCGTTTCACAAAGCGATCTTAGTTCTGTGATTGTCTTAATTCCTGTTCTACCATAGATCTAACGAAGCGCTAAGAGCACTTTGTGGAACGCCCCCAAACCCCCATCCCCCCACCCACCCCCTGGTGCCTACTCTGTAAGAACAACGAGTACGTCCTTTATGTGTGTGTGTGTGTGTGTGTGTGTGTGTGTCTGCTTGTACTAGTCCGGAGTGATGCCGATTTATAGTGCTAGCTCACTTAACATGAATACCCCACTCAGACACAGTATACTGACTCTGAGCCGACCAGTTCTTGTTTTAGCCCCTTAATGCCGAGCGCCAGACAGGGTAACACCAAGTACCATCTTTTAACGTCTTTTGGTATGACCCCCGCACCTTCCGCTCTCCGGGTGGACGCTCTACCACTAGACCACAGAGGCGGTCCTGTGTCTCGTTGAAGTATATGACATGATGTTATTAGTTAAAGTGTCTTTCGTAGCCACGTCCAGTATATTTTTCTGCTTGCCTAATATGACAACGTATGCGGCAATTAAATAAAACATAACGAATTTATTATGCCGAAACGTTTACACTATCTGGTATTATTTTATCGCAAATGTCATGTCAAAATGAAAACTTGACTCTTACAACCAGTGAAAATGACAGGTCCAGTACATGTGTTTCCGATACAACGCTTTAATGTAAACACAAACGTTAACAATGGAATATATAATGCACTAAACGTGAACGTTTAAACAAGTATTGTAGCTAAAATGAATAGAATTATCATAAACATGTCCGCATGCTGAATCAGAATACTGCGGGCCACTGTAACCTGATAGCAGTCCGCTTTTCCCTATTTGCTATGTGACGTCATTGCCGTCACGTTTCTTTTTGTGTGACGTCATCCTATATTATGTTCTATGACGTTGCTATTTGTAAATCAGTGACCTGATGGGTTTTAACACATAACAGCCACTACAAGTATGTTGCTGTGTGTTGCTTTGTTCTTTTGGGGATAAGGTAAAAATTCTATCCATTTTATCTGTAGTTACGTTAAATCAATTTTTCAGGGCATTATCATTTGCTGAAGTCTTCTGTCTGTTCAACTGCCCTCCTTCGCCGACTACTCTATATGTTTAATTAAACCACGCACGTGATTTCTTTAATAATTGATGACCTTGCACATTAATGGTATACAAACACAAAACAGTTTCGAATCAACGAATTTTGAACCAGAATGTTCATGTGAAACATGTGAGATGACTGTTACTGACGGTATACAGTCTCATATTAGGTCAGTAACAACCATCTTGGATTTTTACTGACAGTAGCAGGAAAATATTGGGCGATGCATGAGCCGACCCACATATTTTTCTGCTAACCTAATATTATACCGTATACAGTAACTAAAGACACCATAACGAATTTATTATTTATTATTACTTGCCCGTGAAGAGATCACCCGTTTAATAAACATACAGCTTTATTACACATTGTGTAATACCAAAACGCGTGCTTATGTACTCTCGGAACACGTTTCACGAACAAATATTGAAAGCTCTCAACATCCCTTGGCTTATTCAACGACATTGCGTGTGGAGTTGATAGATCACTGAGAGGAGCTTATGCACACTCGATGACCCCAGCAACCTTGTTGCTAGGCTGACGTCACATGGCATTGTTTCGCCGATGGATCTTGCATCAAAATTCCACAAATTACGTCATCGGGTATTGTGACGTTATTGAAAACTTTGAGGTGCAAGGCCCGTTCCACAAGGCGATCGTATTGTAGCGCAACGACAGTCGTTGGTCTAAGTTAAAGTATGTGAGATGCGAAAGTCTTAGCCCTACGATAATTTTGTGAATTCTAAAGGTAGACCCGTTGTATGGTATGAAATGCATACGTTTCAACTTTTGACGTGTTTGAAGTATTATTCTGTTAAACTCATGTCGTGGATCATGTAGGTGTCAGCCTATTCGTACTCAACAGTATAACTAAACTCGCTCCCGTGTAAAACCAATTTTATGAAACTCGTGAATAGTTGTGGTATCTGACTCGCTTTCGCTCGTCAGATACCACAACTATTCACTCGTTTCATAAAATTGGTATTACACGGGAGCTCGTTTAGTATTCTATATTTATGCTGCTTTGTTTTGCTATCTATTCTATTGCTTTTCCCTATTACATTCATTTGCTATGTGACGTCATTGCAGTCACGTTTCTTGTTTGTGACGTCATCCTATAGTATGTTCTATGACGTTGCTATAACTCAGTGACCTCCGTTGTAAGCTTGTTTTACTCTATATTTCTTATAAATAAAGTCACGAACGTGTCTTTGCTCATCACAATTAATGATAAACACAAAACTGTGTCAAATAACGAATTTCTGTACCAGAATTTCCATGTGAAATATGTGAGGTGGGTGTTGGAAAATCCAAAATGGCTGTTACTGACGGTATACGGTCTCATATTAGGTCAGTAACAACCATCTTGGATTTTATGACGGTATACGGGCTCGTGTGGGGTCAGTAGTTTTGCTCTCTGATTGGTCAATCTCAGTTTGAGGCATAATAATAATAAATTATATGGCTGATTCAAGACCGGTAGAATAACAATTTAATCTGATAATCTCCCTGCTCTACCCCACAGAAAATATATCCACATTAAAGTTAAATAATTCATTTTGAATCTACATTGAATTAAAAGATGTCATACATGTACAATGCTGGTGTATCCTACCTGCAACAGAGGAACATCTTGTTATAACAGGCACACCTCAGTCCACATCTGGTTAGAATAGTCCCATCTACAGCCACCATGTCAGGACTCGATAAACGAACCCGGATGAAACCATCTCCTACAATATGCAGAGAACGATTGATCAGGAAAGTAACAAACTATGTTCACCCATGATGGTTACCTTTGCTGTTTAACGTCGCACTCAGCAATATTCCAGCTATATGACTGCAGTCTATAAATAATCGAGCAATTGAGCAATTGAGATACGATGACATGTTTCAACCAAGTCAGCGAACCTGACCACTCGATCCCGTTAGTCGCCTCTGACGACAAGCATAGTCGCCCTTCGGGTAAGCATGGGTTGCTGAAAACCTGTTCTACTCCGGATCTTCACGGGTCGCATTGTCATCTGCCTGCTTTATTTGTTTCGCCAAATTGGATGCAAGCAAACCTCACAGCTCAGTGATTGGTGTCATGAGCATCGATCTACGCAACTGGGATACGATGACATGCATCAACCAAGCCAAATTTATGTGCACTAAGGTTGTAAATGGCCTTTTTCAAAATTTGAAAAGAAAACAGCGGATCTTATTTGGGGCCAGTTGTTCCTTCTGGAAATATGGTAACAGAAAACTTTCGGCCATGCTAATTCGAAACTTCATCGCCTAAGAATACTGAGTCTCGATCACCTGCAAATTCCATTGGGCGTAAAAGGCAAATTAGTCAAAACAATCGTATGACTGCATCATTGCAATCTGCGATGACACCGGGTGTTCATGAAAAGGGTTTACATGTCCTGCTCTAGTGGAAGCACCCTCCACTCATACAATTTGCATGAAAACGTAAGCACGCAACTACAGCTCTTATCAAACATTCAAAGGTCGCTGAAAATCATTCTGTCAGACATGGAGGAAGTGTTAGGATACACACCGAAATGTTGCCTCAATTTCCTTGTTCATGACGCCAACTTCTAAATACCGCTTAAAGAAGATAGTAAATAGCAACTGAAGTGCACTATTTCCTCTTATATTACCTACCTGTGACGTATACTGAGAGTGACTCATCATGACAGTCTCCGTATGTGCCTGACGTCATAAAGCCGATGCACGCCAGCAGGACGTTCCCCAGCCGCATCTTGTTACTGAAACACGGGGGACAACCCTGGTATAATATAACACACACATAGATGTGGTATGGGATATGGGCCGGCTGGTTGATACGTGGACATAAAGTACTGAAACACAGTGGACAACCATGCTATAATATAACTCACACATAGATGTGGCATGGGATATGGACCGGATGATTGGAACATGGACATAAAGTACTGAAACACAGTGGACAACCATGGTATAATATAACTCACACATAGATGTGGTATGGGATATTGACCGGATGATTGGCACGTGGACATTAAGTACTGAAACACAGTGGACAACCATGCTATAATATAACTCACACATAGATGTGGTATGGGATATGGACCGGATGATTGGCACGTGGACATAAAGTACTGAAACACAGTGGACAACCATGCTATAATATAACTCACACATAGATATGGTATGGGATATGGACCGGATGATTGGCACGTGGACATAAAGGACTGAAACACAGTGGACAACCATGATATAATATAACACACACATAGATGTGGTATGGGATATGGACCGGATGATTGGCACGTGGACATAAAGGACTGAAACACAGTGGACAACCATGATATAATATAACTCACACATAGATGTGGTATGGGATATGGACCGGATGATTGATACGTGGACATAAAGGACTGAAACACAGTGGACAACCATGATATAATATAACACACACACAGATGTGGTATGGGATATGGACCGGATGATTGATACGTGGACATAAAGTACTGAAACACAGTGGACCACCATGCTATAACACACATACACACTAAGCGTCTGTTGTGGACTTGATGATTGACATGGGAACATACAGTACTGAAAAACAGTGGACAACCATGTTATAACACACATATACGTGTAGAGTGGGATAGGGACCGGACGATGGTCACACAGAGATACAGTACTACAAGACAGCGGCCAACCATCCTAAAACACACATATACACTTAGCGTCTGTTATGGACTGGATGATTGACATGGGAACATACAGTACTGAAACTAATGGCCAACCATGATATAACACACATATAAACTTAGCGTCTGTTATGGACTGGATGATTGACATGGGAACATACAGTACTGAAACAAAATGGCCAACCATGATATAACACACATATACACTTAGCGTCTGTTATGGACTGGATGATTGGTATGGGAACATACAGTACTGAAAAACAGTGGACAACCATAATATCACACATACGTGTAGCGTGGGATATAGACCGGATGATGGTCACACAGAGATACAGTACTACAAGACAGCGGCCAACCATGCTACAACACTCATATACACTTAGCGTCTGTTATGGACAGGATGATTGACATGGGAACATACAGTACTGAAACAAAATGGCCAACCATGATATAACACACATGTACACTAAGCGTCTGTTATGGACTGGATGATTGACATGGGAACATACAGTACTGAAACAAAATGGCCAACCATGATATAACACACATATACACTTAGCGTCTGTTATGGACTGGATGATTGACATGGGAACATACAGTACTGAAACAAAATGGCCAACCATGATATAACACACACATATACACTTAGCGTCTGTTATGGACTGGGTTATTGGTATGGGAACATACAGTACTGAAAAACAGTGGACAACCATAATATCACACATACGTGTAGCGTGGGATATGGACCGGATGATGGTCACACAGAGATACAGTACTACAAGACAGCGGCCAACCATGCTACAACACTCATATACACTTAGCGTCTGTTATGGACTGGATGATTGGCATGGGAACATACAGTACTGAAACAAAATGGCCAACAATGATGATTGGATGATTGACATGGGAACATACAGTACTGAAACAAAATGGCCAACCATGATATAACACATACGTGTAGCTTGGGATATGGACCGGATGATGGACACACAGAGATACAGTACTGAAACACAGCGGACAACCATGCTACAACACACATATACACTTAGCGTCTGTTATGGACTGGATGATTTACATGAGAACATACAGTACTGAAACACAGCGGACAACCATGATATAACACATACGTGTAGCGTGGGATAGGGACCGATTGATGGACACACAGAGATACATTACTACAAGACAGTGGCCAACCATGCTACAACACACATATACACTTAGCGTCTGTTATGGACTGGATGATTTATATTTATAATCAGACTAGGCAGGGCGGGACAACTTAGGAATGGCCAGGAGTCCGAACTTGACCACACAGAAGGAAGCGAGCTACAAAAACATGTTTTATATCACTGGAAAGCTCTCGAGGAGACGAATCCAAATAATGTGTGTCCCAGTGTGTTCACATGTTCATAAGCTCAAAAATTGGCTCAGAAAATGCATTACTGCAGAAATTTCTGGCAGAATTTTTTTTATCTGCAGAAATTTCTGGCAGTATTTTTTTTTTCTACAGAAATTTCTGGCAGAATTATTTTTTTCTACAGAAATTTCTGGCAAATTTTTTTTATGCAGTAATATTTAGCAGAATTATTTTAATTCAGGAGAAATAAGATTCAATCATTGGATAGTTTAACCTTGAGTTGCTTCAAATGACCTTTTTCCTCAAAACAAACATTTTTAGTTCACATGATTACAAGCAATAAAATAAAACTAATTTCGTGAGATATTTCAAAAAATTATTTATTCACATGCTATATTACAAGACAATTCCTTGGGAGACTTTGCACTTTTCATTCTCATGAATGAGTCGTATTTTCTTGGGTGAGGTGATTTTTTCAGAGATGGGTCCTGTCACAAAAGAAAATAGATGTATAGATGAGATGGATCCATATTGTCTAATATAATGGATAATGGCAGCCTATACGCAGCTAGAGTTTAACTTTACAATAGAGCCTGCGGAATAAAATGTATTATGAATGTAAATAGTGTGCTTTACTTACGTTTTCTTCTCAACATACTTGAAATGAAATTTTTTTTCGTCTGGTCATTGAAAGCTATGTGCACATATTCTGAAAAGATATGAAAAAAACATTAAAATGCTTTTCATTTCAGTAATTAACACATTCCACAAGCTTTAGACACATGAACAAAGTAAGATAAGTGAGGTGAGTTGAAATTGGGTTGAATGTCGCGCCCAGGTTATTGCACTTATATAGCGATATGTGCGTGCGTGCGTGTGTGTGTGTGTGTGCGTGCGTGCTTGTACTAGTCGTCTGCATCTTCCGTTTTGTACAGGTCACTCCATAAGTTGTCAGTGACTGCATACTTGTGTAGGGGGCACTCAATGTTCACACTGTCATGAAGCTGAAATTATATAAGGATGAGTATACTGCGAAAATTACATTGGATTAATTCGTTAAAAGAGACTTATGTATCATGTTTGGGAGAGGCATTCAGATAAGCAAAATTTGCTTGTTTGCCAATCCCTCCACTTTTGGAAATAAATATGTTTATATCAAGAGACTTCTAAACCATAACCGAACTCAGAACTAACCCCATGTGTCGTAAATGGGTGCTCTAAGGTAAAAGGATGGTAAACACGTGTTTCATTGGCAAGGGATACTCAACCCTTATGATCGGAAAGGGGGTCCAAGGACAAAGGAGAGACCAGACCTACTACCCAGAGGGGCCAGCCTGGTACAAGACTTAGTGTAAAGCTAGCCTAGTCTATGTCATCAGCAGCTGGTCACTGCGGCGGAATGTGGTTTTGGCGTTGCTGTTCAAGTTCGAATTTCCGATAGGCCTGTCTCCACTAAAAAAAAATAGATAAATTTTCGGACAGCATAATCTGGTGTCAGATCTTAAAAAAGGTTCCGAACGACTGTGAAACCATGGTAAGAAGTATTATTATTAATGAAGCAACCTTCCCAAATGTGTGTGCTGCATAAGCTGGAGTGGTTCCCCTTGAATTTTTCAGAATATGAAACGACAGACGAAACGAAAATTAGTTTCGCTTGACATATCCAGTTGGGGGTTATTCTTTTTTAGTTTGGTGGAAAAATGATATGAAACACTGGGGTCTGACTGACTGTAAATTGTGCATTTTCTTTTACTTGCAAAGATCGTCCCTCAAAGGATCCAAATGATGCGGACTATGTGCCAAGTCTGTTTTCCTTCAAAACAGAGAATGCTGCTACCACAAAACAGAGAATAAACAGGCAGAACCGTTTGAAAGAGAGGCAAGAGAACGTTCAGCGCAGTATAGCTGCATCAGCTCTTCTGTCTATTGCTAGTGTAAGTTCTCACTGATGTATTATTTTCATGGAATACCATATGCCTTTTAGTTTAGTGCAAGTAAAATTATACTTTACATACTATAGTAATCTTCCAGGGTCGGGCCTTGTGCTTTTAGCTCCTAAATTTGAAAAAAACACCACATTTTCAAATATAATGGGACATTTTAACATTGTGCTGTACGGGCCGGTGTGGTTGTACCTTTGGTTATTTGAAATTTTCACATAAGGGCCCATGTCAGAAAATTCCTAGAGTGAACCCTGATCTTCTCACAGTTACTTGTTTTCTTGAACATTTTGAAGATAATTTTGTACTGTTTAAATTAAAAATAGACATATTATGTTAAAAAAATACAAATTATGTTGTTTTTGTCAACTACAAATATTTGATTGTAAAAGACAGTATGTGTTTCACAAAAGAGTTTGATAATGTGCATAATTACAAAGCATGTCTGTGCTAAGTTGTAAAGACTTATATTGTTTCTGCAGATTGATGATGATAACAGCCCTGTCAGTGTTAGTGTCCAGACTGATCCAATGATGACAGCTCGATCTTGCTATCCTGCATCATCGCAGACTAACATACAGAACCGCGAGATGGAAGACCTGCTTTCCTGGAAAGAATATGCCTTGCATCTTGAGATGACCAACCGTGTCCAGGAGAAGTACATCAGCACATTGGAAAAGCAAGTTGACCTCACACAGACCCTAGTTCAGTCCTTACAAGTTGACATATGTAAATTGAAGAAAACTGTATCAGAGCTTAAAGTGGAAAATACCTGAGTATGCTGCATGAAGAACATTAAAAAAACTAATGACAAACAGTTGTCATTATATACAGGTCTACAGAATGTTAGTGTATTTATGGACATTTGCAGCGAGACTTCTCATCATGTCAATAGGAAGAAGAACAAGCTTTCTGATGAGGATGAACTCCTCCTAACTCTGATGAAATTGAGGAAGAATTTATGCATGCAGGACTTGGCATACAGGTTTGGTATATCTTAGTCATCGGCTACGAGGATCTTTCACGCATGGCTTGATGTACTGTACATCCACCTTGGAAGACTAGTGATGTGGCCTGATACTACTGAAATGCACCTACCCAAGTGTTTCCGCAACAAGATTTTCAGAAGAGTAAGATGCATCATTGACTGTACAGAAATCTTCATCGAGAGAGCCAGTAACAACAAAGCCAGATCCCAGACTTACTCAAGGTACAAGCAGCACAACACAGTGAAGTTCCTTATTGGTATCAGTCCATCAGGAGCCATCATCTTTCTGTCCCCTGTATGGGGTGGACGAGCCAGTAACAACAAAGCCAGATCCCAGACCTACTCAAGGTACAAGCAGCACAACACAGTGAAGTTCCTTATTGGTATCAGTCCATCAGGAGCCATCATCTTTCTGTCCCCTGTATGGGGTGGACGAGCCAGTGACAACAAAGCCAGATCCCAGACTTACTCAAGGTACAAGCAGCACAACACAGTGAAGTTCCTTATTGGTATCAGTCCATCAGGAGCCATCATCTTTCTGTCCCCCGTATGGGGTGGACGAGCCAGTGACAAGACCATAACTCTTACAAGTGGCATCATTGACAAGTTTGTGCCAGGTACACATGAAACAATGGTATTTGTAAAATAATTTGTATATATGCTTTATTTCCTGATACAGTTTTATTCGCGAGGAAATTGGTATTTTATCAATGAAGCGTTGAATCAGGGTTGCATATAGATAGTTTTAGCTAGAGACATTTTTATTAAGATTTCATAAAATAATTAGTGCAAATGTTCCAAGGAATCTTAACTATACTTTGATTACATTCTTGGCATAGTACATTTTGAAAATATGATGTGTATTTGTGCATGTATAAATGTAGGCAGTAATTATTATATAACTAAAAGTGGTATACATTTCTACAGGTGATGTTGTTCTGGCTGACAGGGGCTTTTTCATCGACACTGAATTAGCAACTCAAGGGGCACAGCTTATGGTACCAGCGTACACAAAAGGCAAGAACCAGAGTATATTCCAATGTGCGGATACATGTAGACTGGGGTGTGATGAAAGGTCCTCTCCCTATCACTCTTGTCAAGAAAGCGAACACTTCAGCAGAGACCACTGTCGGAAATATGGTTCAAGTATGCGCAGCTCTTGTGAACCTGTGTCCTCCAATACTAGAATAGTGGTCTACATAGTATACATGTATATAACATAAGTATTGGTAATGAAGTTGTGCTGAGTAGTGGATCAATTTCAGTTGACTTGATAAACATAATTGATCCTAGTACTACTGCTATGTTCTATATCCTTGTTCTGCTAAGTTAATTTTGAACAAGTAGATGTTAAATTACCGGTACATGGTAAACACTTTTTGATACAAAAAAAAGGAACTGTTGATGTTATCAACATGTATTAATGTACAGATATATTCAGCTTTTTGTCTTAATATTTCATTTATCATGACAGGTGAATTATATACGCATTGAAGCACATGTAACACGTGTGGCGTCTCCTTGGGCAAGTGACTTTGTTTGAAATGTGCCTCTCTTCACCTAGCAGTGAATGGTTACCCGGTAGGATGAGATGACAACGCGGTAGGATGAGATGACAACGTGGTTGTTAACCTTCTATCACCTAAAAGGCAGCTTGGGTTGTATACTGTAAACAGGGAATTTTTTGCGACCGTTTTATTATTGCGAGTTTTGTGAACGAGACTCAATCGCAAAACTTAGTGTATGTATAAATAATACATACATACTTTATTCATTGCAACACGTCATCAAACGTTGAAATCTTCAACCAGAACCACAAGTTACTCTAAAAGTTAAAATCACAAATGAATGCAGAATGGTCACACAATACATCACAAATGACAGTGTAAACAGACCAATTAGTGTCACTGTTACCTCACAGTAATCAATTATCAATTATCAACACATCAACTCGCAAAAATATCTTGTCGCAGTATTGTCTTTGGTGTGGTATTCGGAATATTTTAACGGCGAAGAAATAAAGCTGTCTACAGTACTCCCCAGGGAGCTGAGAATGATTCTTGAGTGCACATTGACCCAGTGACCAGGGTAATAGCGCTTTGAGCATGCCCCTGAGTGGGGTGGAAACGTGCAATATAAATAGCATATTATTATTATAATTATTTATCACATATAAACAAACTAAGAAATGAGGTGTTTATATTTGCTGCATATCACTCTTTCCACACAAGTGCTACAACTTAAGTGCTTCCAAACATAATTATTGATGTGTGATGTGTAACAATAAGTTCATGAACAACTGAACATGATGAAGACAAATGGGAAAAAAATTAATTGATGAACTTTGAGATTTAATTTAGTGTACTTTGGCTTTGTAGGGTTATATAAATGGACAGTAACATTAAAAATGCATTTATGTACATTTGTTTGTTTGTTGTTTAACTCTGCAATCAGTAATATGTTAGCTATATGACAGCTGTCTGTAAATAATTGAGTCTGGACCAGACAATCCAGTGATTGACATCATGAGCATCGATCCACACAATTGGGATATGATGACACAGTTCAAACAAATCAGCGAGCCTGACCACCTGATCACGTTTGTAGCCTCTTACCACAAGCATTGATGTACATACATTGCATTGTATTATTCATACTTTATGCAGCGACGCCTTTCTCTGGATACTGGGTGAACATGGTTCATCTTATGGTCATGTGCTCTAGTCAGTAGTTCAGGTAAAACAATTCTCAAAAAGTAGAAATCTAATTTCACTTTCAGTGAGTTCCAAAATGTAGTGTCTTTTATGACACGTTCAATATGGATACCCTTTCTGGACCAGACAACAAAGTCACAATAATTCATATCACAGACATGTAACTGGCCTTGCACCTGATGATAATAATTGTGGCTAGTTTGAAGCGAGTTTATACAAACAGGATCATATTTTACATGAGGTTTTAGATAGAACTGATTATCACAAATTTCACAAGGATGCTGGTCTCTGTATTTAAAGAGACACTTAACCTCCACAAGACCCTTACCACAACAGTCACATGTCACATATATGAGTCAGGTGTAGCACCTAAGTGGGGGAAATCTGGGTTGATGACAAAACCGGATTTCTGTAAGACAAGGTTGGTATGACCAGACATCATAATAGTTTTATATTGATCAAGAGCGTCATTTTCGTGGTCCAAACCCCACTCACAGGGAGCATACACTCTAGCTTGGTCATGTTTATTACTGTCAGAGTCAGTAGTTTGGTCATATTGCATGATCTTTTTCAATAACGAAACCTGACTGGGTTTACACTGACAATGATAAATACTCCCAAAATAAGAGGCAGTTAAACGTCCTATTCTGTACTCAAACCAGGTAGCTGATCCACTCTGACAGATGGTTTCTTTCTCCAACACTGTAGCTTCCTGCTGTGTTATTTTTAACTCATCAGAAAAAATATTCTCACATTTACATTTCAACTCTGCCTCAGTCAAATGTTTATATTTCTCATCAAATAAAAGTGATAGTGGAGAAGGAAGTTGGGCATGTTCTTCTTGGGACCAGTCGGTAACCGGGTTTGTAATAGTAAATATGGCTGCGGAGGGTACACTTTTTCTCAACTTTACTAAAAGACTAGAACTATCTGCAAATTAAACTGGTTGTCTCTGGGCCAGAGGTGGTGCCAAGTGCACCTTCTTGACTTTGGAGAAGTTTATGTCTGCCACCATAGCTGGTTCAACCTGAAAAAAATATTCACATACAGTTGCTGAAAGGAATTTCACATTTAAGTTAAAAAATCACATTACACAGTTTTAAAATACTGACATGTTTTCAAACTTGTCTGTCTTGAGGAAAAATACAAATCAGCCTGATATTTAAACCACCACTATTATTTTTTTTAGACTAAGTCAGTAATGTAATTCAACAATGAAATAGTTCTCAACCTCCATTACCAATTTGTTTAAAACGTTATAAAGGAATATGGGACATACTGTGGTGTAAAATCAACACCAATATATTGTTCTTTCAATTTTCATATTTTGCATGTTACCTTCTTTGTGAATGTCTGATTCCAGGAACAGGGCATGGACGTACAGGAAACTTTGTTGTACTCAAATCGTACACAGGCCTCCACTTTAAATAGGATACCAGCAACATGTGAACAGACTTCACCCAATCTGAATTTGAACAAACATTTAACTAAACTTTGAACAATTAATTTACAATTTTTGTCTGAAATATATGAAATTGAGTACAATGGGATTTATTAACCACAACAGATGATCATATTTGAAAGAAAACCTATTTACAGAAATATTTATTAAATAAATAAATCTAATACCCTGCCATGCATGTACAGTGTGCACACTCCACCCTGCCACTCTTATCCGGACCAACCCAGGCTTCATGGGGCTTCTCTGTCACAGCTTGGGATCTGTGAACCTTGGCCTGAAAAATCAATCAACATTTAAAAAAATTATAAATTGCTGTCACAGACATTCTGCGATTGGTTGATTTTAATATTTGATATTCAGTGGTTTCTAAATAAGATGTTATTTTTGTTTAAACACAAACTATGGATTAAGAGTACACTGACCATGGAAAACACATACTATGGCGCCGCATAGAATTATATGCCACGACCGTAAAGATAGGCCTAATATAATGCATGTTCAGATAAAAATATGAACATTGATGACTTACCTTAATTATGCACTTGGTCTGTGAAGAGTTGTACCTGATGAGACACGTATGAACCCATCCACTTTCAAACAAAGTATAGGCCTCTAGTGAACGAAAACATCGCAAATTCTTTCTGGTAAAAGGACCAGGCGAATCTATTAGATACGTGTATAGATCGCCATACTGCAAGTTTGGCCACTGGGAAACGTCGTCAATCCAGTACTTATGGTTATATATGGTTCCCAATCTAGCGAAAATCCAAGTAAATTAAGTTTTTCTTCGTAACGAAGCTTGTCTACTGCACAAAGATGTTTGTAGTAGGTACTCATGATAAATGTGTAAACACGGAACGTAAATACGGCAGCGCGAAGTTTGACAGCTCTGACCTTGACAGCGCGGTTCACTTCCGTGGTCTTTTGCTGCACGCACGATGCGCATGCGCGACCGGAGACGGAACAGCAAGTCTGCTGCAACTCATCTTATGGCTTCGCGTGGCATTATATTGGTGTTACGTACGTAGTATACTAGGTAAGTGTTGCCCTCGTTGCCCACACGGCCATGACTTAATTAGGGTGCGAGTTGGTGGGTGGCTCGGTCTACTCGGTGGTGCTAACAGTAGGCGTAGGGCTAGGCAAGTTTACGAGACATACTCTCACGTGGACCTAGTGATAGAACCCTTTCTTCGTTTTGAGAGGACATGTCGATATCGAATTTCGCGAATTTTCTTCTCGAATTTCTGAAAGCCCAGGAATATTGCAAAATCTATATTAATAATTGCTGTTTCCAACTGGATACATATAAAAGTGATCTTCAAAATGGAACCGAATTTAGCATGGAAACAATATTCGATAAACGTAAGGGTTTGGCAAGGAGTATTACTGATAAGACCTTGAATAACGTATCAATACCAACTATATACATACACTACCAGGCATTGCAATTGGGCATTTATTGTTGGTTTGAATCCCTGTTCGCCCAATGTTTCTAGGTTGTCAGCACCATATCTGTGCTCGTGGGTTTAATCGGAGTGGTAAACGATATAACTGGAATACTGTTAAAAGCGGTGTTAAACCAAACACAATCATTCAAGACTCACAACTTTACCGTTGATCCAATGTTTTCTGGTGCGTGTGGGGCTATGTTAGTGATGAGTCACAACTGTATATTTTAGGTTTCCCAAACATGCTTCTAACATTTTTATTCTAAAATGATATGTCATATTATCACAGGAGCAGTAATCATAACATACAAATAAGTTGACAGCATTGATTGCTTATTCCTATGTAATAAGAACGTGAAGTGGCCCACACAAGCAGGTGTGTCACGTCTGTTAACAGGTGAATGGGTTGTCTGATATGGTCTTGTATGATAACACATGCTGAAAGTAATTAGTACTATTGCACATACACAGTATCAATGAATGTATTTCTTTGAACTATTGTTTCATTATTACTACAGTAGTATAGGTAATGATGGTTCTGGCTCACTTCCACTGGAGCCGGATTCATATACCTATACTGCTACTACAGGGGGCATTTTTTATGCCAAAATGATTATGCGATTCAATGATAGTCATGAGTTGTATTAAACGAAACATCAATATTAATTAATAATGGATAAAATTTACTATAACCCACGAGGATATTGGAAAGGTAAAGGAGCAATAAAAAAATTAGCCACCGCGGCTAAGGTATCTAAAGATGTGGCCAAGGATTGGTTAAAGAAACAAGCGATGTGGCAAATATATTTACCGGCACCGCGTTATATACCGAGGAAGAAGTTTGATATTTTTACAACGAATGAAGTTCATCAGGCTGACCTCTTGTTTCTTCCCCATGATAAGGTAAAACGCAAAACGTATAAATACGCTTTAACAGTAGTGGATGTGGCTAGTCGATACAAAGAGGCTGAGCCATTAACCTCGAAAGAATCAACAGAAGTAGCTAATGCACTGAGTCGCATATATAAACGCGGACCGCTAAAATGGCCTATGCTATTTCAAGTAGATCCCGGTCGCGAGTTTATGGGATCGGAAACTAAACTGTTAACAAAGCACGATGTCGAAATCAGGCGTGGTGAAAGAGAGGCCCACCGCAGTCAAGCTATCGTCGAAAGATTTAACCGGACATTAGCTGAACTTTTGTTTGGCTATCAGTATGGGATCGAAATGAAATCAGAACGATAGAGATCAACCGAATGGGTGACACGATTATCAGCCGTTGTATCAGTGCTGAATAATGAAGTAACGAGATTAATAGGGAAGAAACCATCCGATGCTATTAAAATGAAATCCGTGACTTCCGAATCTTCAGCACCGAGGAGAGGCAAAGAACGAAAACTTCCGGATAGAGTAAGGGTAAGATATTTATACCAGGCAGGTGAACTCGAAGGAGGCCTACGTCGCGCAACCGATCCCATATGGTCCCTTAAGACGTATAACATTAGTCGATTGGTTACGGAAGAAGGAGAGCCTATTCTTTATTATCTTCAAGATGGACCGGGTAGGGCATTTGTACGAGAAGAGTTGTTCATAGTTCCCGACAGTGCGGTATTACCACCATAACCATAAGCATAGGTAGTTACACCATCATTATCAATCCATCTCTTTGTATCTAAGGGGGATAATGATGTCTTGTTCATTCTTAATCCATATATCCTATGATTGTAACTTCTTAAAGAGTTCATCTCGTGTTTGAACGTTCTACCGTTGAATAATGATTCTTTATACTGTTCGTGTTTGATATGCTTTTTTACAACGTACTTCTTAACACCCTTGGCTTTTCTTATCTCTCCATTATCAGACTTCTTTTTAGAATACATCTTAGGTCTTAATACTACATACTCCGCTATAGGGGTCCCAGCACATTCATCCTTCCTCTTACCTAACACCTTTTTATTTACAACGCTGTGCAGTGGATTATCTTTTGGGTAACCGCTCGTGTCGTACATATCTATTTTTTCTGCCATATCTTTATACACATCCTCGGTTTGTATTTCCATCAACAAAGAATCTGTGTCGGTATATAACACCTCGCATCTATCGCCGTATTGCTTCTTAAGTTCGTTGTAATAAAAGTCATACATAAAGTGTTTTGACAAGTCGAGAATACTCATACCAACGTACACCGGTCTGTTGAATTTTATATTACTCTTCTGCATATGCAACGCGGCTAAGTCGTTATCGAATATCTTGCTTCTGTTAAAAGCCGGACTGGCTATAAGTTTCCTGAGTCTTTCTTCCTCATTAGATCTGACTAATTTAACATCAACACGCTTCCTTAGATTCTCCATAGTTTTACCAAATACTGAGTTATTCATGAGCTTATAAAGATTCTTTTCGAAATCGCTGGTAGCTATCTTTCTTAAATCTGTGTTCAACCTTATATAGGGCTCCATCCAAGGGCTTTGATCAAACTTTAGAACTCTGTGTATTTTCTTAAGTTTCATACCTAACAATAGATACAACTGGACATTTCTGTAGTGAACTATATATTTTGTCTTATCCATCAAATTTGGTACGAGTTTTTCTACGTTAGCTAACCTACTATTACCCATCAAGGAGCGTTGATATTCCGACATCCAATCTTTATTAACCATTAATCTTTCGGGAGCTAGCGGATAACTGTTATGATCTTTATGTAATGAACTTGGATATTCCAAGTCAACTTCTAGTATGTACCCTTTATTCTCATCATTATTATGGATATTAATAACATTGATATTATCAATATCATTGACCCACTCAAAACCACCCGTGGGTAAAGGTTGACTCATAGCCCATCCGTACAAATTGTTAGCGTCAAGATATAATATGTGCGTGTCGGGTTTACTAGGATCGTATCCTTCCACTAATTTATTATTAGCCTTAGAATACCTTTTCGCTGCCATCGATATACCCCCTCTTAATCCTTTCTCAATAAACAAGTGCATATCGTAATCTGTGAGTAGTTTTAGTTCTACGCCGGTCTTCTTCAACAATGCATCCCACGATAGTCCGGGACTGGAATAGTACCATGCCGGGTCCAAGCCGAATTGTTTTAAACATGTCTTTCTAAATATCTCGAATATATCGGCGAGTAACAGTACATCGGTTTTTAAGTACAGATCGTGATAATCGCCTAAATTCTTACAACCTAATTTATCCCACACCGTCAGAGCATGTTCATAATCGGCATCTGTTATTCTAGATTCTGTTAAGTTACTATAGAATGATTCGAGGGGTGGTAATTCAGTTTCTTCGAATCTAGACCAATCATCCATATATTCGTAAGGATATACACCTTTTCTCAGCAACAAATGACGAGTTATCTTATCAGTATATCGATTTGTTATCGCAAAGTCATCGGGATTGTTCGCATTAGCTAAATTGTCCAGGGAAGATAACAGAAACTGTACGGAGTCTATGAATCTAAGCCCATTACTTTGCTTTATTCTAGATTTCCCATCCTTGTCCCTATAATGTATAGGTTTAGTCAAAGAGAACGATATGTATTTTTCCATATTGTTAGGAATGCACGTTAAACCGCCGTCGGTCTTTGAGATAGCTTGCATAATGAGATGTGAATCGTATCCCCTAAGGTTGTGAAACACAACGGGGATGGGTATTGTTTGAGAATTCATTTTTAGTTTCAAGTTACACTCGTTATGTGCGGCTCCCCGATAATTACCCGTGACGTGACAATGATCTCTTACGGAATCCCCATCCAGGGGTTTATTGCAAACATGACAACTCGTTGACTTCTTATGGGCCCTCCAATCATCCCTCGTCATACGCATGGGTTTCTTACACGATAATTTTTCCCTGATTATTCTCTCTTCATTTTGTAGATATTCTAGGAACTTTCCCGCTGCATCTGTAAATCACGGGCGGGTTTGTTTTCCCATCATACCTTACAACTATATTTCCAAACCCACAAGGAATATGTTCTTGAGTTTTGTACGTAAAACTATCTTGATTATTATGGTTGTTATTTTCTATGGGTTTGATAAGGGCTTCGAAGTTGGCGTAAATTACGTACGGTACTGGCATTTGATTACAATAATGTTCAAATTTTAATATATTTTTTCCCTCTTTAGGCATATCGATCCTGATAGCGGTCTGTCCAACACCTCTACAGTCTTCTTTATGCGCTTCTAATAGATCTTGTCTGCTGTACCCATGTAGGCATCTTTCACAGAAATATTTCTTTCTAGCATGTTTTGTTTGATCGTATAATAGCCTGTTTAAACTCTTTATCCATGTATAATGATATTTTCCATCTTTTTCGATCAGAAATGAATTGATTCTGGGAATATGTTCCGGAGCGCAGCTTATCCTGTGTACAACAATTCCTTTAGAATGTCCGAAAACATTTATAGCTAAATTATTTTGCTTTTCCACCTTATCAATTTGCGATATTGGTGTAGGTTCGTCTATACCATGAAAGTTGAGTCCATCGTTTTGGGGATAGCTAGAAGGTCTATCCGGATTTTTGTCTATGGGGAACAATGCAGATCTTATCATCATTCTTAAACAGTCATCGGATTTA